TGGGGGACTCAGGGCCGAAGCCACGGCACCGAGCTCTTCTCACTCAGGGCTAAGCCCCTCAGAGGGTCTGGTGGCAGTGACAGCCGTCCGTGAAGGCAGAGCGCAGTGCCAGCCCGGGTCGGGAGCGGGGCACACGCGGCGGATTGGGCCCTGGGGGGGCGTCTAAGGTGGGGAGTCCAGAAGGCAGGGCGGCGGGGGGCCCGGAGGCGCTGTGGGGGGCAGGGGGGGTCCTGCTCCATGAGGCTGTCGCAGCCCGCCAAGCGCGGTGCCAGCGTTTTACACGTGTGCGCGTGTTTATGGTCACGAGCAGCATGTGAGGTAGGTGTTACTAACCCAGCGTTGCAAATGTGGAAACTGAGGCACGGAGCGGCGGAGCGGCCTGCTCGAGGCCACACACCTCGGCCTGCGTGCGGCATGGCCCGTTCTCATGTTCCTGGCTGCCTCCCTGGGAAGTGCCCCGGGGACGTGCAGTCCCGCCGAGAGCTGGGGGCTCCCGAGACCCTGAGGCGGACACCCGGTCCTGCCAGGGGTCTGCAAACAGCGCTGCGGGCCGGGGGGAGGGGCAGGCGGGAAGGCAGGTCCCAGGTGTGCCCGTGTGGCAGGGAGCACGGAACTGGAATTTTGGGTGGGCAGAGGGGCGGGGCGCAGAGACGGCCTAGTGCTGACGGCAGCCTGTTGGGCTGGGGCTGGGTCGCTGCCCAGTTATTCATCACCGGCCTCCCGCCCTCGCAGCTGCCCCACCCGCCCCGCCCAGGGAGACCAGAATGTCGGCTGGGAGAGTCCGGGCGCGTCCAGGCCCAGGAGCACGCCCGGCCTCGCCCCTCGCTGGCCCGGCCCGGCTGCCGTGCACTCATGGGCCCTGCTCTCCAGGTTCCAACCCGAACTCTGCTCTCCTTCCGCTCACTCACTGCCGGGCGCCCCCATCTTCCAGGGCGCAGCAGGCTGGGTGCACGGCCACAGCCCCCCTGGAGTCTGGCGGATAGGGGTTCACGGTCTCAGGCGTGGTATTCCAGTCAGGGTGCCTGCCCAGGGCTTGGGAGTGGCCTCCGTGTGCCCGTTCCTGTCCCTGTCCATGCTGGGAGCTGCTCTCTGGGCCCTCTGCACCCTCCAGGCAGTGGCCACACATGCACCTGCCACAGGCCCCCCACTTCCGACCACCCCGGGGAACGTCACCCGTCTGTGTCGGCCATCGGCCCTGAGTACAATTTGTAAACCTTTTACTAGCTCATTACAAGTTTGCTCATCGCCCACCACTTAGAATGTAAGTAAGCCCGGTGAGGGCAGGACCCACAGGGCCTGGCGTGGCGTACAGTCCACACACCCAAGGGACTGGCTGAGCGTGAGCCACGCAGAGAGGACAGCACGTGTGCAGACAGAGAGGCCGAGGGCTGCGGGGGACGCAAACCTTCAGGAGGCTCCTTAGCGACAGGGAAGGGGCAGTGTGATCCTGAGCTGGCCGCCACTGGGGAGCCTGCTAGCTGACCGGAGGGACTCAGCTGGAAACAGCCGGACGCAGGGAGCTGGCCCCAGGGCTGCTGCCCAGGAAGCCAGAGGGGTCTGGAAGAGGGGTCAAGGACATAAGGACTGGGCTGCGTAAGGGGGGGCCACGCTGGCAAGCTTAGTGGTCCATACAGAAAGGAGCCAGCCTCCTGGGGGTGTCTGCATCAGCTTGGGGTTCAGGTAGAGGTGATCCCCTCACCTGGGGGCTGGAACTTGGAGAAGCTTCAGCCCGGTCTCTCTTAGAGGCAGCGGGAGCCCCAGAGGCCTCCTCTCAGCCCCCCTGGGCCAGCCGTCCGCTCTCCCCCACCTCTAGGAGATACACTCAATAAGGGCAGGAACTTTGTCCTCTTCCCCTGGTGTCCCCAGTGCCTAGGACAGGGCCTGCTTTACAGCAGATGCTCAGTCCACGCCGTTGCGTAAGTGAATCCAGATTCCACTTTTCAGTGAAACTTGAGGTCACAAGGTTTTACTTCCATGAGCACTGCGAGCCTGCAGAGCTGAGAGTGACATCTGCGTCCCGCTTAACGCCACAGAGCAGGCGGCAGGGGTGTCTCAGGCCATTCGTCGCACCCATCTGACCTCCGTGACGATGAAAACGTTCTCGTCTTGCGTCAGCATCAAGCCAACAGTGGATCAGCTTCTTTCGGGGGTGCCTTCCCCGGACCGCCCACGACCCCGACACTCACACGCACCTGTTAGAACTTCCCACCGTCTCCAAGTGTGTTCTGAACGTCACCTTGACAGTGCGCCATGCAGAGCTCGGCTCTTGTGACCGAGCCTCACCGACAGCTAGAGCGTCACCCTCTTCTGTGGTCCGTTTCCAAGGCAGGCCCCACGCGGGGCAGGGCTCAGGCAGGCGGAAGATGGCGGTGACGGGGAAGAGGGGGCCCACTGGCCCAACACCATCGAGCCCCCAACCAGGCTCTCCAGCATGGACGGCCCGCCCCCCCAGCCCCCGGGGCCGACCGTGACTGCCCCCTCCTTCCCTGCTCCCAGGCGAGAAGTCAGACCAAGGGTCAAAACCAGCCTCACTGCGGCCTTAGCCCTTCTGAGTGTGTCTCCTCGTCTGCAAATAATTCCTCCTCTAGGGTTCTCAGGGGAATTTGACAGACAGTAACACAGTAACGCAAGCAGCCACCTCCACGGCAGGTCGGCAGGTCGCACGGCAGGGCTCGGCGGAGGGAGCGCGCCCTCCGTCTGCTTCCGGGCGCCCCCGCACTCCGGTGCCGGCGTGGCAGGCGGGAAATACTGTCCCGACGACTGATTCTGGGGGCTCCTGCTCTCCAAACCCGCACAAAGCAACAGATTAGGGGTCGAGTGCAGGGCCGCACGCCTCGCTCGTGGGGTTGGAGCTGGGGACAGGGGGAGGGACTTGCGAGCATCGTGCAGCTGGTTAGTGACACCACAGGACCCCGGACCCAGGTGGCCTGACTTCCACGCCGTGTGAGGGAACTGGGTGCTGCTCGCAGACTGACCCCTGGAAGGCTTTCGAGCCCACTGCTTGTCACTGGAAAACCGAGGAGGCGGCCTGGCACGGCCACTGGGTGCCCAGGCCCTATCCCTGCCACTTCCCAGCTTGGTGACCTCACTGAGCCTCAGTGACGGTTCTGGTGCCCCCAGCCCCCACAGGGCCGCCACACAGATTCTGAAGAGATGGTCCACGTGCAGGGCCAGAACCGCGCCTGGCTCACAAAAGTAACAGAGAAGCATCCAGAACAACTGAATTTCGCACCTAGGCACAATTTTAGAGGTCACCGGTGTCAGCTTCCAGGGGTTACGCGCTGCCTTTCCTAGCAGTGTGGGCCGCTCCAGGCACCTCCTTGAAGGCCTTCCTGCACCCCAAAGGTAGCAAAACAATCACCGTCAAAGACACAATTAACATTTATTGTAGCTGGCAGATTAGGTTTTGGATGGGCCTGACGAGTGATACAATGGAGCTGTATTTTTATGTGCTGTCATGTGCTCTTTACAGCGCTCTGGGCTCTTCCATAACCCGTGTGCAGGGGACTTTAATGCCCATTTTATAGGACTTTTATAAGGGAGGCTGGAGAGTTGCAGAGAAGAACAGTGGCCCGGGCAGGAGTCACCGGACTTGGTTAGAATGGTTAACTGACGACCTCGGGCAAGCCACCTCCTCCCCCTGTCGGAAAGATGTCGAGGCCGGGCTGGGGGTGTCCAGGGCTCCGTCACCCCCAGGGCCTATGGCTGGAAGCAGAATCTTACATTTTTAAGTGCCGATCGAGGCTTACAGGTGTTGACCTTTCGTACCCATGACGTATCGTTAGTCACATCTCTGGTTTATTTGACACTCGGTCCTTAGGAGCACAGGCCTCAATTATAAAACTATTTCTATTGGGGACTATCATCTGCTTTACAATATTCAGCTTAGCACGTGCCTATGGGGTGCCTTCTGGGAAGAGCCGGGGCTCCCCACGTATGACACCCACTTCTCAGGTAATGAGCGTGTGACTGAATGAGTGGCCCCTGAGACTCACTCGGCTTCTCCATCCTCCCTCGACATAAAATTCCCGGCAAGCGTAGATTCTGACGGTCTCTTGCTTTGCAGATTGCAAGAGGAGTTTGTGAGCCGTGAGTGGTGGCTACAAATGACAGCAGAAGTGACAGCTGTGACAGCCTAATAGAGGAGCCCCCAATCTCAGGAGCTGGCCACTATGACACAGCTCAGTAATGATGTCCACGATGAGAGCCTCGGTTCATGGAGAAGTTCGCGAAACGCGTTCAGGATCTTTTGGGTAAGGAGGCAAGGCAGGGTGTGACACCTTTGCAAAGATTTCCATCAAGGTCCTTTAAAAAGTACTCAGCTCCTGTCACACCAAATCACCTGGCGTAGGCTGCCACTGTGCCTGGAGACGATGCCACTGGAGCGAGGCATCACCGCGCGTGTCCCGGGGCTGCGGGAGAATGCACACGGCTTCCTGCAACCCTAAGTCCCTGTGCGGCAGTTTTATGGGCAAGGCGGACTGAGCTTTTCAGTAAGGATCTGGATAAGATTTACACTAGACTTAATTCACCGCAAATTAGCCTTTATTCGTTCATCCATTTAAAAGTATTTTTTATTGTGCCCCTAATGTGCGCCTGGCCCCGTTTTAGGGGCTAAGTCTGGAGTTCGGGCGGATCCACCCTCTGGCAGGTACTGCTCCCCGGCTTTGGGTTTTCGTCCCAAGGCTGGTCCCTGGCCTGGCTTCATGCCCCCACCCCTCCGCCTGCAGGCTAGAAGCTGCCCTCCAGGGGGCCGGGTACCCCCTAAGATGGAGCGCTTCTGGCGCGTCTTGCCAGAGAGATGGCTCCCCAGGCTCCCTAGCCGAGCGCTACTTTCTCCACCTGCAGCAGGAACAGGACCGCGGGCGTCTCCAGGACCTCGCTGCAGGCGTGGAGGGGGAGGGGAGGCGACAGGGCGGACAGCAGTCCCACACTCCCGACGCGGCCCTGCCCCCAGGAGCGCCCGCCGCCGCAGCGGCAGGACAGGGCGGAGTGGGTGGTGCAGGCAGGGGCGGTATATCCAGTCTGACGCAGGGCGGGCCTCGCCAGTGCCAGGAGAGGGACGCGCCAGGGCGGAGGCGCCAGGAGCAGCCCCGAGCCTTCGCGAACACTCAGTCTATGGCCACAGGGAGCCGCTGACAAGAGCCCGCCCTCCGCGCGCCCCGCGCTCTCCAGGCCAGCGCGCCCGCGCCTCCGCCGCCACCATGAACCACTCGCCGCTCAAGACCGCCCTGGCCTACGAGTGCTTCCAGGACCAGGACAACTCGACGCTGGCCCTGCCCTCCGATCAGAAGATGAAGACCGGCACGTCCGGCAGGCAGCGCGTGCAGGAGCAGGTGCTGATGACCGTCAGGCGGCAGAAGTCCAAGTCCTCCCAGTCGTCCACCCTGAGCCACTCCAACCGAGGTAAAGGCTGCGCGCGCGTGCGCGGGGGTCTGCGCGGGGTCTGCGCGGGGTC